AAGGATGTCGATGTTTGTAGGCATTTGATTATAAGGACCAGATCTTATTACATTTTAATTGGACATTTTTCCGTAATANGAAAGTCTCACAAGGTTGGCGATTTGTGGGCAAAACTCCAGTATCGGACGGGACTCGAACCCGTACTTGTCCTTTCCGGGAACCGTGCTCTTATCCCTTACACTACCGAGACCCCGCTTGCCCTCGCCTACTTAATGTTATTTATTGTCGTTTTTACCATTACCCCATCAACGTAGACTCTGAAAATTAAAAATGTCGTCCTCAACGGCACTGTATTTCATTGGTCCTCATCATAGCTCAGTTACAGAACACTTCACCGGTACGTCGCATACAGCAGAATCAGATCCCTATTGTGAAATGATCACCGACACAGACCCGATCAGATGTGATCAGAGCAGCTGATCGAGAATCATAGTCACAGCCATGTCTACAAGTATTGTACGAGCTGACAACGGGACGTGCCAGCTCCACCTTTGTTGGAAATCTGGGACGCAAGTTGGATTCAATCATCTCTTATTCAGAAACTTTATGAAGAATGATTTTGTTGCCACAGTTGTATTTAAAAGGGAATTGAACACCCCAGAAAAGTGCAACTTTCTTCTGATTATAACCTGAAAAGGAAGAAGCTTGACCTAAACTGAGCAGTCAGACTGGTACTACGAATCTTACCCCATAACACCGAGAAGGAGAATGATTGAAGCCGAGAATCATGCAACATCAATGACCAATCATCTTACTCTGTTGCCATGACCACTTGACCGACATATCGGCCCTGCCTCGGGCCCCTTGAGGGCGCCGAACTACGAAATGTATTAACAGCCGCACCACCTTACCATACCGAAGATGGCGATCGCTCACAGCTGGCGCTATGAAACTGCCTGCGGCACAAGAATTCAATGGCTGAACCCAGGCATCACAGTTTTAGTCACTAGCCCAATCATTCCGATCAGTATTGCGAGGACCGCAGCTCACTCGTCCTATTAGTTTTTTTCTGTAGATTTGGGCACGAGTTCAAATGAGGGATAACCAGTAGTGCTGCCCATATTGCTTAGTTGTTATCCGAAGCAGGAGGACCTCGATCATCGATCTTCCATTCCGGCATGGGAGTCCAAATCATAGCGCTTCGGGTGGGCTAGATCGTCGGCCTATCATTGATGTCTTCAGACGTGGATTAACGCCTCATTTGACTATTAAGAACATCATTTCAGCGCTACGTATACATCCAGGAAGAATCGTGGAACCCTTAAAATCTGATCATTGCAAATCATATGTTCCAATATGGACCGTAAAACGGCACACTGAGTGAAGTACAGTTTACTGACGTATAAGGAATGTAGAATACACAGTTATGTCGCTCTGGCGCTAATTCTGCAAAAAGTTGCGAGCGGATGCGGTGCGTTTTAGTAAATTGTTTTGTCTAGAAATGTAATAAACATTCCCGATTGCCGACTGTGCTTCTATCACAGAGATTCACTTCCAAAAAACCATTTAGTGGGAATGTAATTTTAAGCGGGTCACTCGTTTTGGCACCTTTGTATGTGTCTCTCAGTGAGAGGGTATCCCACCGTCCAGTTCTACTTTTATTGAAATTTTCGCATGGAGTCACCATTTTACTCATCCCGATGCTCTCCCCTTCAAACCCAGAATCGTTTCTTAATCGGCTCAAAATCGGCTTCGTAACACCTTCACAGATCTGCAGTATCGGCGCCCTAAAGTTTTCTGGTTCTGGCAGTTGACGCTAGAGCGGCAGAGTATAGTGTAGTGCCTTTCTACAACCACATTTTCACCAACCGTTCTAGCCCAAAGTAATGTTTGAGTTTGTTCAAATTAGTTTTAGTGATGTCTGTTTTGGCTTCTTGCCTGCTACGGCTGCGGACAGGGAAGGATCAGCTTTTCGGCGCAGTGCGCAGTTTCTCCGCTTCTCCTACTGCTAAGAAATGGAAATGTGAGTTGTTCAGTTTTTTGCACAGTTTTTGAAATTCTTGTTGATGCTTACACCTACTCATGCCATAATTTCAATTCACTTGGTTAAAGAGTATGACATCTTCCTCGTTTTCCTAGATCAACTTCGCTTTTCCAATTAGCTCCAACTTCAATGTTCACTAGACCTATGTCATTTATTTAGTTGACCTCCAAGTGATTTCATCACAAAGTCATTTTTCAATGTTGTTTAGATTTTCAATGGCAACCTCCCAAATGTGCAGAGTTGATTATTTTCTTTTCACCTCAGTTAATGCCGAATTTCATGATACGCCTGTCCATATACTTATGAACATACATAACAATGCATTTTTCATAAAGAAAGGAACTATGAAGTTCTTGTTTCTTATATACCTTTTTGATTTCTACAACGATTATCTGCTATACTGCATTTTAATGGGAATCCCATCCAGTTATGAATACGGCTTTTTGGCTTGTTACGCTTCCAAAAATACACCTCAAACCTAAACCATTACAGTAGGAAATCATCGACTATAAACCGCTTTTACGTGAGTTTTGGGTTGGAATGAATGGTTTTTGTGATGGTTCCTTATAGGACTGAGTGACTGCACTTTTCCCATTATGAGCTAGCTGCAAGATTTAGCAAGAAAGACTCAAACGCTGTTTTTTTGTGTAAAAGCTAATTCCAATGTTACAGTTGTCGAAAAAGAAGAAAACGACGTGACTGTTGTGGAAATGGAAGAGATTCCAGAACAATCGCCACCATCCAGTTCACAATGCGCTCTTTGCACATGCAGTATTCCTGTTAAGTTATCGTACAGGTAATGTTATAATGCATTTTTTGACGTTTCTTCTAAAATGAAAATTATATTGCCGAAAGTAACCCCCACTTTCACATGAATCACCTTCTTGATTGCTATTTCCTTAAAATTACTATCCTAAACTTCGAGAATTCCTCAGTGGGTATCAGGCAAGAATGAGGAGGGTATTAATAAAACCTCAGCCGAAATTTGGAATGCCTTACGCAAATACGTTTGAACCCATTCGAAAGCAAATTTGCTTCCTCGCAATTCCTAAACGCAAGCTCGCGAGCACTTTCGCTATTTGCGAGCGAATGACTGCCATTGCACAATTTTAATAAGGGGTCTGCATCTGAATGAACGATTCTGTCGTTTATTTGAATGGATATACGTGTACACGTTTATCCTTGAAAAGATTCCCCGGTTTGCGGAACTTCTGAAGTACGATTGGTTTGGTTGGTCTGGATCGATTTGTCCAAGCGTAAAGACCAAGGCTTTAGTATATATATATTGTTACTATGTACTTTACGGGTACGAAGATAGCATCGAATTCCGGTGGCTTCTATGACTTCTTCGTTTTGTTTCTTAGATTCTTAGATTGTTTCTTAGATTTTTTATCTGTTATAGCACTAAAAACTCAAAACAGATCAACAAGTCATACTGTTTTAGTGATGTTTTGATCCTTGAGCAGTTTATGCGAGAAGATGGCACCGTTCTTCCCCGCCAACTTACTGGGCTGTGTAAGAAACAGCAGTTGCGGCTTGAAAGGTACTTTTTGTCGTGATTTACATCCAACTGATAATATTACAGGTTTTGGAGCGAATTGTTTGTAAAGTTCTTGTAATACCATTGAGGTTACAACTGCTGTATCAACATTCCTTATGCATAGAATTGTTAGTATAGGAAGGAAACAGCTTGTGACTCATAGGGAATTTCTTTTCTACCAATTTTTTTGGTGAAAATGTTTCTCCGATTTCTAAACATGACCATGCTGTTGCTATTCAAACTGACATCATTATTTCATGCTCATAGCAGCAAACTATATGTATTGAGATGTGTCTATATCAGATGTGTCATGCAAGCACACTGGGCTGGGCTCTTCCCAGACAAGACCATTCCCGACTTCGATAGGACTGGATATAAGCGATTCAACAGGTAATGTGATAGTGTTGTTGAATTAATTAACTATCCAAGTTTAGAAGTAACCCATGGCATGACAAGTCACCATTATATGAAAGATTACTTTTTCCAATAATACATTCATTTCGGTGGTTAAACTCATCTCAACATGTATTTATATAATATATGTATTTTTTCAGATTTACTTTTTGGGAATGACTTGGTTTGAGGTGGACTTCTGATTGCCTAGAGTTTTCCATTGCCTGAGTTGCTCTCCCTTGTGGCGTAAGCTAATCATAAAAATTTTAGATATTGGAACGATGACATGGATATGTATCGATTGAAAGAGAAACGAGAACCTGGTACCTGGTACTATATCAAACGGTATCCAACGGGAAACCAGCCAGTACCTCATAGGAAAGTCAAAAGACACTAAATATAGATAGTGAACATTGTGTAATAGTTTTTGTTATAGCCATATGTATTGTTGGAATTAAAGAAGTTTTATAATCCCCTTCGTGGTCATTTCTGAGTGAAAACTGTTGTTAGCAGTTCTCGTCATGTATTTATTGATCCAGAGCTCTTTTCCCTTTTTTCTATTTGTTATTTTTTCAAATATTCTAGGTACCTGTGATGTGAGTCTGGTCGAGTTTGGTGAAATTGTGTGGAATGCGTTGTGTTTTTTGTTTACGCGCGAAGGGATTAGTTATTTTGAGGCTTTTTTCATCTCCATGTCGTTTTTTGTGTTTCGTAGTACTATTTTGCGCTAGCGTTGAATCATATGAAGGCACCAGGTAAGTTTTCAAAAACCCTTCCTCTTGGAAGTCATTTCTAACTCTAACTTATATTAAGATCCGGTGACCTTACACCATCGATCGAGTTTAGCCAAGATCCGTGTCCCGTCGTTCCCAACTGCAAATGCATCGGGGAAGATATTTCCATGGTCGAGTGTTCTGGGATCGGTAAGGATGTCGATGTTTGTAGGCATTTGATTATAAGGACCAGATCTTATTACATTTTAATTGGACATTTTTCCGTAATAGTTAACCTAGGCGAGTTCCACTTCATGACAAAAAGCCCTTTATTAGGAATGAAAAAAGTATAGTTAGAAAGATTTTCATTACAGAATGTTTGTCTGCCGTGGTGAACTCCTTTTTTACCTCTAGCCGGGCATTAATCTGTAACGGGGTTCTTTCCCTCACTAGGAACGCTTCTAGGGGAATGGCTACTGGAGCTCGCAGACATCATAACGAATTTCTAATGAGTTAACCTGATAGGCCAACCAACGGAGAAATTTCAAGAAACAGATTCTATCAATCGTCAGAATCCTTCAGTGACTTGGAGACCACTTTTCAGGCAGGAGGGTATAGAACCAGAAAGTTGTCGAAATTGAGTCGTGAGAAAAGTTGCAGCGCTCAGCCACCATACAGTGCGTTTCATAATTATAAGGTCACCCCGAGAAAGTGAACAATTATTAACGAAAGAGAGGGAATTTCGTGTTTGAAGATCCTTGTAAAGGTAAGCATGTGTAGCAAAGGCATTCCTAAACCTGACTGTCAACATGGCTCGTGGTCAACTGCTTTCCTCTGATGAGAAGGCTCATCATGAAGGTGGGCTCCGTACTCGAGCCATTTCCAGGCGAATAGAGAGATCTCCTTGGTCCATTCGGAGATTTCTGGAGAGCCCTCATGTCGTTAGATATAACACCGACTGTGGACACCTATGAAAGATTACTGCCCGTGAC